CAAGGTTGAGAAACACTGTCCTAACCACTGCTGGGGAATTCTGGGAGTTGAAGTCCGGACATCTTCAAGCTGCCAAGGTTGAGAGAAACACTGATCTATGGAGACGACCCTTCCTGTCTAGAACTGGAAGCACCGCTGGGAAAAGAGGCTGTCAGGAAACTCCCAAGCTCTGTATAAACAACACGGCCAAGACCCTCAAATGCACCGCAGCGCCTGTGTAAAGAGGCGGGCTGAGCGGTCGTTCAGGCTGGGGGCGCCCCAGGAGGCTCCCCTTGGAATCAATGCTTTCCCTCGGAGGACCACAGAAACTCGTGGGGAAAGAGCTGAAAAATGCCCAAATTGTTGCTTTTAGTGCCAATGGAGGGATTTGCACGGGGAGGAATTTGCAGAGGAAGAGAAACCAGGGCCGGACTCAAGAGCGGACGCGGCGGTCGCTGCAGCGGAGCCCAGCTGTGCAAAGGAGAGACAGCAATGAGCCGGGTCACGTGGCCTCCGAGGAATGCCAGGCATGCGCAGACGGGGGCGGGAGGGAAGGAGCCGCAGCGGCGGCGGCGGCTCTGCAAAAGGGGGAGGAGCAGCCGCTGGAGTGGCAGCCGCGAGAGCCAACCGGAGGGCGCGATCCCTCCCGGGCTCCCTCCAATCAAGCGCCAGGTCCCGGCGACATCCTCGCGGGGGACCCTGCGGGCGGCGTCTGCCCGGGTTCGCGTCTCGGAGGGGACCTCAAGCGCCGGTGAAGCCCCAGGAGCGCAGCGCAGCGCAGCGCAGCGGTGTCCATAGGCTGCAAAAGGTGACCAAAGCGATGCCGGATAGGCTTGGCTTTTTTGGGGGGTTGAGCGCATCCTCGAAAGGCGTAGGATTCGGCGCAACCGGGGCGCAGAGACGGGGCTTCTGCGGAGGAGGAGGAGGAAAAGTGGAGGCGCGCGTGGGGCTCCCGAGTGGGGGAGCTTGGACTGCTCCGTGCATTCCCCCTCCGCCCACCCTTTGCAGGCAGATGCTGCAGAAGCGCAGGGAGTGGGGCGCAGGGGAGGCGGGGGGGGGGAGAGAAGTTTGACTAGTTGTTCCCCCTGGGGAGCCCCCTCCGAGTAGGTCCCTCTCCTGCCCCACCCCACAGCGGGGTACGTGGGACGTGTGTGCATGTGTGCAACGCCTTGCATCCAGCGAAGGGATGGTGTCACGGTGCAAAAATTCGCCTGCATAGGCAGGAGCTGTGGATGCCAAAACTCTTTAAAGGCGTTTTCTGTGCAAGGGTTTTGCTCAGCGAGAGACTTTGGGAAAGGGAGGATCTCCTTAAAAAAAAAAGGAAATATGCAGGGAGAAGGGAGGTGTTTTTCATTTCCCCAACATAAACGCTTCATGTCTTGTCCTTTGATACAGTGTTTCTCAACCTTGGCAACTTGAAGATGTCTGGACTTCAACTCCCAGAATTCCCCAGCCAGCGAATGCTGGCTGGGGAATTCTGGG